AATATATTGGAAAACGTGATAAATATCGAAAGCAGATGGGTAATAAATGAAATATGACTTCGGTAAGGACGCACTACATGCGATTCACGCCATTCCCAATTGAAGTCGCTATTCAAAGTAATGTCATGGAATGATGTGGAAAAAACATACGATGTAATGGCAAAGATACGGTGTTGAAATGAGAGGAAGAAGGAGTCCAGTGCTGAGAGCGATTGCCACGTTTTTACTTAACACACAGGAGCTGCATGGCTTCTTCTCAGTAAAAATGTCGGGTATTATCAATATCTGAAAAAAACAATAAATCTGAAAATGATCACACTTATCACGAATCAGCAAAGGGGACCGGAAATAAAACTGAATTATGAACATATTTCTAACTACTGAACCTTCAACAATCCATATTCAAAATATAACTTGTCAACAGGAGTCATGAAAAGTAGTGAGCAAAGCATTCAGCGAGGGTTATTCAACAAGTCTAGTACAACAGAATGCAATTCGAAATTGCAATCAGACATTAAGTGAGAAATTTTGCTAGCTCAATTCTAGCAGGTGTAGCCTGGGGAGGGGAGGAGGGAGAGAAGTAAGCAAACCAGCCCTTTTGGCGTTTCTGCTGGGACCGTATGCTGAATGTTGGGGAGGGGATGGGGTCCCCGACGGTCGACGGACTACTTCAACTCTTAAAACCGCCTCAATTTGATGCTTACCTCAGGACTAAGCCTTAAAGAGAGGACGGACCTGCGAGAGAGCGCAGGTCCCCTCTCTCCAAGGCTTAGTCCTGGGGTAAGCAAACCAGCCCTTTTGGCGGAGCTGCTGGACCAGCTGCACCACTTGCGTCATTACTCTCCTACCGTACCGACCGAGTTGAAGTAGTCCGTCGACCGTCGGGGACCCCATCCCCTCCCCAACATTCAGCATACGGTCCCAGCCAGAAACGCCAAAAGGGCTGGTTTGCTTACCTCGGAGGGAGAGCGAAGCAATATCGCGATGCAATAATTAGTAGCGCCTTCAATAACCCCATTTTTGCAGTAAGAGAAGTTCGAACCAGTTTGCTTGTAAAGGAATGGAATGTGGTGAGTACGGAAACCTATTTTGCTATTGTTTTGAATGCATTGCATGCTGTGGACCGTGATGCCCCCCTACGACCACAATTAAGCCATATCCCTCAGATAGTATGAAAGTCAATCATATCCACACCCTGAAAGAACCTGCTGATAATATTCCGGAGGCAAAAATCAAATGAAAAAGTAGTCTATACAACAAAATCACCTGGCGCAACATATAGTATGTGAGTCCTGATGTATAAACGCCAAAAACGAAAGGCGATTTTGGACACTGTCTGATTGGCATCGAGAGAGTGACATCTTCGGATTGAACAAAACCATGTCAGCGCTGATTTTGGTCGCTGAAAGTTTCATAATAATAAAACCATGTTAGACCGATTACAGCAGCCAAGAAAGAATGATCCACACGGTTTTCATTTAAGTTCGAATTCTTGACTCGAGCGCATGATTAATCAAAAAAATTAACAGAATACGCCAGACTTCTACACTGGCCGGGACTGTATGAGGATATTACTATGGTAGATAAGCGGATGCGTGAGGCTAGTCATTCTCCCAGCTTCACCGCCCGCGGCAAAGAGACTCGTTCAGGCAACTCTAGCATTACCTTCACTTCTTGTTCCGATTACGATTAATTTAAGAGGCAGGTATCAACCACGTAAATCAGATTCTTCATGAGAAGAGAACTAAGAATGGAAAACAGCAGCATATTCTAGCTGTTTTACGGCCGATCTGAGCGAGGTCGTACCTACGGCAAATAAGCCTTACAATTCCCAAAGCCGAGCAATGTACAACAAAGTAATGGATTGTAAAAGAAAGATTAAGAGCAAAAATATTTCATATCACGCTTGGACACCAACTTACCAGTGAGGAACACTTTATTTCGCACATAAACCATCAGCGAAACCATCCACGGGGTCTAAATAAGCAAAAGATGAGCAAAAATGTAAAGAAATGATCGTAATAGGGGTATGACAGTTGAATTCATTTGAGAGGAAGTAGCTAAATAAACTAACCAATCATCGTGGAAGAGACACAGTTTGCGATAATCCCTGCATGAATCGGCCAATTCAACGCTCTTCGTTCCGAAGCATACGGCCAGTTCGATGCCATCGACTGTATCGCAAGTATCTAGTTGTGCTGCCTTGGATACCAACGGACATCTGAGAGATTGTTCGCTGGTGTCCACAAAGAGCCATGAGTCCGTTCACAGGCGGACAGGCGTTGGGCACACCTCATGGAAAAGTAAGGTGTAAATGTACTGTCTTGTTACCAATCTGGCGAAAGCAACCTCACGATTTAACTCTCGAGAACTATTCATGTGGAAACTGTCGCTTACCGGTCAATATACAGTGCTTTGTACTATGATACGATATTCAGCTTTGAAGGGGAGCGGTGATTTAGAGCTATTCTCGGCTTCCCGTGGATAGGCCGAAAATTCAGCGCGTCATTGCATCCACACAGATTTGGTCGGAGATATTAAGCGATCCCAGATCGATATCTCGTTTTTTTTGCCAAGACACGACTTTCGGACCTAATCATCAATAGTGTTCAAAATTAAGCATCTAGGGGTGAAAACATGTCTATATATCATTACGAATAGACTCGTCTAGGCGACTTTCGGCATTGGATGACTTGATAGTGGAAACCTCGTACATTATTAGCTAGCAAGCTTTAAGAGTCGAAAGAGAGGCTCGGTTGGTTTTTGACATTTGCATCTAGTGCGAAACAAATAGATACTTTCTGCTCCTCTCTCATTGCCTAGGAGCAATTCGCTTAGGGCCTGTTAAAAAGGAGAGTAACTAGCATGTTAGTTAGAGTATGGAACGTCTTTAAGTATTGGTGCAAAAGTTAATAAATTACGCCAGTTCAAGTGGACTCTTTTCGCTCCGCGCCTTTTTTGCCACATATGGGTTCTTTGGCCCGAGCCAATATGAGTAAGTAGACTGAGGAATTCTTTAAAAATTTCCTTGTGCATACTTCGAGGTAAAGTGTTTGTGTGCACTTTCATCGCTCCAAGTCACTGCTAAAAGAGTGTCGCTACATTTCAAGCCAAACGAAGAATGGTGCATTCTCCGGCCGTACTTGAATGTTGAAACTAGGGACCGGTTAAGCTTTTTCTGAACGACGATTGGCAGGCCCCAACTTGCCATAGACTTCACTGTCTTTTGAAAACTGTGAAAAACCGATGAGCATTTTAAATGGTAGTATTCCCTCCATCAAATGCAATGTTGGTTTGGTGGGCGGAGGTTGTAGCTCTCAGCAAGAATTTTGAAGCATTTGGTACACACATGCGAATTTGCACACTGGACCCAGGAATTTTCAAAAAAAGTATAAAAATTGGGGGAAAGTTAAATTGTGAACCCAACAATAGAAAACATAAGCTAACGTGACGGTGACAGCCATATTCCGTAGTATTAATGGCCGATGTAAGACTTTGCGGTTGGAGTGATTTTGCACCAAATGTAGGAGCGACGGATCGCTCAAGCGATGGTGCAAAATCGCTCCAATCGCAAAGTCTGACATCGGCCAATGGAGGGCGCACGCATAGTCGGTCGGACGACAGCAACGATCGTAACTGTTCGTATAACTTGACTTGGATCGGCGTGACGTCTGGATGCGGATTGGTCCTGAGTAGTCGACGATTATATGCAGTCAGACAGTCAGACAGTTGCGATCGTTGCTGTCGGACGGCCGACTATGCGTGCGCTCTGAGCAAAGAGGACTTCTGGAGTATAAATGATTCTGTCCATGGTACTGCAGGCCGCCAGAACTTCCTGACTGTCACAAGCAATGTGAGCATTTAAGATGTCGGTACCGTAAAAATATTGGTATGCATATTATAGATAACTACTTCGGTTACGAGCATAAACCCCCATGGAAGAATCGATACGATTAGATAAGCAGATATGCGCTGCTTAGAAATGAGGAGCATCATCCGTAGCACTCAAAAGATCGACACGATAACGATATACCATATGATATGCTGCGCCTCTAGACGCTGTTGTTGGCATGCCCAGCAGCCAGATTAACAAAGGCCGCGGATTCACTCGCTACCACGTATAGTCGTCGCGTTAAGCTCTGTGCGTCGCTGTAAGCACGCATTGGCGCGCCTTTAAGCGACACCTAGCATAAGGGCGTGCGAGGGCAGTGATCCCTGGCTCAAATAAGTGAGTAACCAAATAAGTGACTAAGGATTTCTTGGCTCCTTCATTAAGCCTAATGCCTTATGAGGAGGGCAAGAAGAGCAGAGATGCTGTAATGGTGTGCATATGCAAGTCGCCATTTGTGGCCACCTTGTCACGACGGCTGTTTTCACTAAATTCGGCGTAAACCTACATTCGCTTTTGGAACTGGCGCTGGCTAACGCATACTTTCCGGCTGTCCCTGGACTCTTTAATTAGGTCTGGGCCTTCCCAGTTAAGCTTGATGGGAAGGGGAACACCGCGTTGGGTGAATTGCGCATCGTGTAGTAAGAGATGAAATGTGTGAGATCACAAGGTGAGTGGCTCACCTTGCTCACCTCTGAGCCTCCTCTCGCCAAATGCTTAGTCCTGATAGCGATCAAACCAGTGAGAGGGCGCAAGCGACAGGAAAACAAGTACCAAATGGCGCCAACGTCAAAATGAATATCGTATTCGTAACCAGGGCATCAAATTACCCCTATGAACAAACTTCCGACGAAAATAAAATTTTGGGAGATTGGGGCTCAGTGTAATAGTACCGTGAAATTGCGTGGATAAATTTGCTAATGGGTAACTTTCGCAAAGTTTCAACGTCGAGTGCATAACCAATAATGATGATGATCTAAGCCGCAATTAACAACCAAATTATGAGAACTACGAAAAGTAATAATCTGAGTGCTCTTTTCCAAGTTTTTCCTTGACTGGCTTGCCTGTGGGGCCGGTGGGGCTGCTAGGGTATGAACCGCTCTTCTTTAATCCTCTCTCAGGACTGCCTACTCTGCTCTATTTTGTGCTCCTTTGTCTACTCTTTATTCCACCGCTTTGTGACTTTCCCAATCTTTTGGCTCTTCGTGCTAATCCTTGCGTCGCCTAAAAGCGCGCCAATGCTTGCTGCAGCGCGCACCAATGCTAACACGGATTACGGTAACAGTGAATCCGCGGCCTTTGTTATCTGTCTTGTTGCATCCCCTTCCACGTCTGATGAGGAGGTGCAACGCCGAACCGGAAGTGGGTTTCGGCGCCTTATCACGCCGTTGATAAGGCGCCACTGCCCTGAAGCGTCACCTGTCGTCCCATTGGGTAGGACCCCTACCAAGTCCACTATGTCACTTTCTCTATCGTCTCCACGGGAATTTCCGTGACCACTTCCTTGAATGCTGCGGCCTCGTTCAACGCCATTCTGACGTCACAAAAAACTTTTTCAAACAAACTCGGGTCTCATACGGTAAGAGGGGGCATTACGATTTGCACGCTCAACGCGTGAAAAATCACGGAAAGCATCCTTTCAATGTAAACGTTAAGACTAGCATTAGAAGGGCGGAAGACCCCATACTCGCAAACCCCGCCCCTCAGGCAAGAGTGGTCGTTACCTCTACCTTACATTAACAACAAAATTAACATATGGAAAAGATAGTGGCATCGTTTCTTCTCGATGCCGAAGACACTTACAAGTTAGACTGAAAAAAATAAAAGCAAAATTTTTAAAGAAAAGAGCTATACGAATGCAACTCACGTTGTTCGAGTGATTGGGAGATCCTCGCGTTTTGCTTCTATTGGGACTTTGGATCGTTTCCATAATTCGACCACTTGTGCAGACGGTTCCTTACTGGAACTCGCTGTATGTAAAGACATTACAGCCCGTAAGAAATGTGTGCTGAGCAAAAGAAGAGAGAAATCCGACCGGAAGGCGAGCAACTCGTACTCGTGTCTCGCCGCACGCGGCGACGCGGAAGCGACCGGCGCGAGACCCAGCGAACCTGCTAGACAGCTTCCAATTCGATTAGGAGTATGCAGGTACATCAGCATACAAGCTGGGGACATGTGGAACACGCTCTCAATAGAAACTTGGGTCCATTCCAGTAGGGCGGTGGGCATGTGGTGCAGCAGTTCGCGCTAATCCATTAATGACAATTTTTGTAGGAGGATGAAGGTACGAGCTGACATTTTGGCAGGAGATCAAAGGGCCAAGTTGACGCTGCTCGGGAATTTTCTTGCCAAGGAAAATACTGAAGTCACTTGAAAGCGTACGGTGCTCATTATACGAAGGTACCCTCGCCAAATGACCAGAAATTGTGCAATTGCAGAAATTGACGTGGCATTAACGTGGCATCGATTCAAGAACATCTTCAGCACACGTGATGTCACCTTTTCATCGAGAATTTAGCCACGTGTGCCAATGCCACGTCAATTTCTGCAATTGCACAATTTCTGGTCATTTGAAGGCGAGGGTACCCCCTATAGTGGCCCCCTTATTGAATTAAACTTGAAACTACTCCATTTTCCAAGGTCGCTCTTGTTTGCAGAAGCTTAGCTGAACTGTTCCATGCAATAATAGCTGTTCATATTCCTGTGAAGATCTTTTAGTTAACGATAAGTAGGCAATCTTGCTGATGAAAATCGCCTCAATTATAGGAGGATTCCACGATTAAGGTCGAAGGTCGAAGAAGGGGAACTTACCTAGTGGAAAGACAGGGAATCTCCAAGGGTGCGGACCGACACGCAATTCGCAGCGAAGGATATGCCCCGGCGATCTAGCATGGCCGTCCCCGCCGCGCTATCGACGCGGCACGCTCGTCGACTGGCTCCACTGCCGCAGGTCGCTAGCCTAAATTAAGGTTAAGGTTTGGGTTAGATGTCAAGGTGGAAGAGGGCAGCACCGATGAGAGTCGCATCAATGCGGAAATCAACGGGCAAGGAAGGGGTCCCATTTCTCGGGTTCTGGGCCGTTTCTCATGGTTTTTTCTTCATCCCGGCACCACTAACACCTCTACCCTATTCTAATGAGCTGCCCTCTAATCGTAAACTCCGCTTCAAGAATGTGACCCAGCTCTAAAAAAGCCTAGGTTTTGCCCTTTCTGGGCAAACATCGCGCACTCGGCCTCTGTTGCCTATTGTAGATACGATTGAATGCATAAGTTGCTCAAAAAAGGCTAGCCTACCATAGTTAGAGGGCAACTTTCCTGTTGTGAGCGAACTCGCCTCTGAACTGACCTAAAACTGAAAAATTGCACTTTTACGATGGGCATCGAGAAAAAATTCCGTGAATCTTTGGCAGAAAGTCCGTTCAAGAATATGGCACGGTGGTTCAGTCTATCGAGTTAGAGGTAACAACAATAGGTCTTTGGCGATGATCAGCCGTCCAAGGCCGAGTGCAGCGTCAACCGCCGTTATTTAAGTTTTTTTACGACCCCTCTTCCCCCCCCCCCGCTTTGCGATCTTGGCACAACGGACGGTC